TTGACGTGTGTAAATATTTCAAGTATAAGTTTTCCTCCGTTGGGAAAGTATCGCTTTCAAAAACGTCCCGGGGACGAAAGATAAAACAATTTAGCTGGTCGTGCGTAGGGTTTTCGTTTAGTGCTACGGTAGTAATGACGTGGCAACTGAGTGGTCGGTGACTGTCCGTGTTTATAGCGCAACTGATGAATGGCAAGTTCTTTATTCTTCTCTGTCGGCCTGCCCTTTGCGGAGCACTTCAAACGCTTGATTTCTTGAGAACTCTGCCTCAGCCTCCCAGGCGCCCACGAGTACACCCATCCCGTATCTGCGTTGGTTGTGAATCGCTGGAAATCGCTGGAACCCACTCTATCGCACACTCCACCGTTTGACATGACTCGAAGGTTGTACGGGTTGCGTCCAAATACACGTCTGAAAATTTCCGCTTGCACGAGGAGCAAAGATTTGACTGAGGATTATGAAAAAGGGCAAAAATTGTAAATAGGGAAGTTAATAACCGTTTCCCCTTCACCTCGATACTTTGCTGCGCTTTTCCCATGTAGCTATGATGAGCCACGCCCATCTGCGTCACGGCGTATCAGTCACAAGTGCCATATTTTTTCAAGTGCAGTGTGTGCAGCCGAATGGCCACTACAGCGCAAGTCAGTATTCGTATATGTACACTTCGGACGAATAAAAGTTGCTCTTGCTGAGATTCATACCAACCGTTTTTCGACGCCGCCCATCATTCAGCCCACCCACTGAGCTACTTGCCTTAATCTGATCATGAAGAAGAAATATTCGGGCAAGTGGGTTGTGAGCCACTCCTGTTCTGGTCGTTTCGAATGGCCTGACAGCGTGAGCGGCATCAAAGCTGCGGCAATTTTCTGACTACTGAGGGGCGCTGCGCAAAGTTTTACCTGCTCAGAAAACTCTGAACATCGTACAGGCTTTCTTGCACGAGAAATGATGACCTCATCGCTTCGAATGTCAGAGTTGGCCACACAAATACGAACGTTTTACGTACTACTACTTTACTCGTAAGACCAACGTTTCGGACAGTTTTCAGATCGACGACGTCAGAAGTTTTATCGCAGAGAACATCACAAACCTACTTTATGAAATGTCGCATTTTGCAAGCTGCTCGGATATCGTTGTTTTAATCGTTTTTCATCAAGTGCTTTCGAAACTTGTCTATTTGGCTCGACAGATCGAGCACCTCCCAGATTTGGATCATGGCGTTTCGCCGCTGGCCGCCCAAACGAACCGTCTCAAAACAGTGATCGCACACACAAGCAAGCGAATGAAGACGGCAACTGGGTCGGTGATTCGATTCGATTCGATTCGATTCGACTGAAGACGAGTAAAAAGTGACGAACCATTACAGGAGTCAATGCGTCGGAAGCACGTGTGTCATCGTCGCTAGAGCTCCTCACCAATGACTGTAGAGCCTAAACTTATAATGTCCACAGAGACAGCAACCGGACTGATACGATCTTAGGCCTGTTGTGCTGCCTGCGCGAAGGAGATACTCCCAAGCGTCAGCAGGTCAGCCTATTGGGGGTTTCCACGTTCTGTGTTGCTCGTCAGGGCGCGGCTTCCATGAGTGGATTCCCGTAAGAGAACTTGGTAAGCAAGCGATGTTTATGCCTTTGCCCATTGTCTGTCAAACCAGGCGTTGGTCATTCCTGCAGCATGGACGTCACATCTCGAAAGTTGCTGGTAGGCGTCTCCTGCCGATTTGCCTTACGGTGATACCATCGAACCCTTTGAAGACTCTGAGGACAGCTTTGTTGAAAGGCATTCAGTCGAACCTCACCAGTTTCCACCAAGGTTACTATCTCTAAGCGGTACATAAGAATGGGGAGAACAGACGATGCGTGGATCTAGACTTTCGTTGTCACGCTCACACCCTGCTGACGCTACATTTCCGCTAGACTTGCAAATGCTACAGCCGCCAGAGCACTTCTGTTCAGTTGAACGTCACGGTTGCTGCGTTATTTTCTGCTGATCCTAGGTACTTGAAGCGATCGCTTATGACCAGACGGTATCCAGTGCATGCGAGATCCTTTGCCACTGTTCCTTCAACGTTTTTCATCAACTTGATCTTCAGTACGTTGAACGAAGAGGCCTCCTCCATCGGCAGTGGCTTGAACCGATTCAGTCATGTCTGGCAACCGTAATCCATGTTTAATGTCGCATAATAGGATTATGTCTAGGTCTGTGAAGTGTACAGAAAGTGGGTGCAAGGAGGGGGCGGGTTAAGCCATGTCTTCGACTTAAGGGTAGTCCATTTTCTTCGTGATAGTCGACGCCTTGCTTCACACCGTTTTTCCCTTCAAACTAGTCCCACAAGGTGCTTTTACTGCACATACCGAACCGCTGTACAATTCTTTGACGATGTTGATATGTTGTTAGCGATATCAGAGTACTGCATGATGCTCTACATGGTGGGTCGGTGAATTGCATCAAACTGGCTTTGAAGTCAATGAACGAAGCGTACCACGGAAGTTGGAGTTTCCAACATTGTAGCATGAATATGCGAAACGAAAGTGGGTGCTCGTTGCATGAATAGCCCTTTCGGAATCTTGCCTGGTTTTTCCTCAACTTCTTTTCAGCTTCATTTTTCAGACATTCCTGAATGATTCGGGCAGAGATCTTTCCAGGTATAGATGGCAAAGTAATTCCTCGATAGTTAGAAGCATCCAATTGACTTTCTCCTCTAAGAGTGGGAATTATAATCCCTCTGTTCTAGTCCATCGGTACCTGGGAAGACGACCATATATGAGGAAAAGTTCGGTTAGCACTTTCAACAGCCGTTTTGCCACACGTGATCAGCTTGGTTTGAATTTGATCGACGACAGGTGCTTTCCCATTATTTAAAGGCTTAAGAGTATGACAGATTTCGGTTTCGGAAGGAGGCTTTGTTCTCACATCAAAGGCTTCAGAAAAGTTTGCGTCAACAGTTGAGATTCGGCGGATCAGCTGCATTCCAAGGCGTCTTGAAATATTCGATCCGCACTTCTAGTTGTTCTTTTTGTTCTGTCAGTAATCGACCTCGTTTGCTTCGAATCTAAGCATTTAGAGCAGTCGTAGCCCTTTGAACACCGATCCAATCTCACGTCGACCTGCAGCCTCCTTCCGTTTTTTCGTCATTCCTTCTATCTAACGGCTTCAGTCCAAACGGTGACTGGAGTTTACGGCTTTAATTACATGGCGGTGTTGTACCTTTGTTTCATCCATTCGCTGTTGTAAGATTACCTGTTTGACGTTGTTCCTTTTGGCATGCATCTTCAGGGTCAGGGTTTCTGTGAAAATCCAAGGTCGGAGGCACTTCTTGTCGATGTCCGAGGGCAGTGCGTTGAATTCGGTGCTTCGTTTCATAAGCACTTCCACCTCCTGTTAATAGGCGGCATTTAGGTCCGGGTGCTTCAGCTCATCAACGTTAAGTATGACAGGTCTAATCGCCTTCTCCGTTACAGCCTGTTAATACATAATGCAACTAGTTGTTTGTTGCAGCCAGATGCAATTCATAGTGACGAGTTAATGGTCAGTCAGTGTCAAAGAAGGGACCGCGGTGAACTAGGGAATCGCGCAAAGGATTGCGCTATAGAGAACTGACCAAAACATGATCTACATGGCTGCGAACACGGTCAGGGGGAGAAATTCACGTAATTTGGTGAGTCTTCTTGTGAGGCAAGGTTTTTTGCCAACAATCTGTACTCGTGCACTACTGACCTAAGAAGTACTTCAGCGACAGCTCTGACACTGCCCTGCTATGTCGTAACTTGCCAGGCTCTTTTCCGGTGCCTTGTACCCAATATCGTCACACTCACTAATACTTGTAAATCAGAAAATTCAGTCCTCAGCGAGACGAGGCACAGCTTCGCGATGCAGAGGAGAAACCGCCGGAAAGGAGGTGGCTGCGCCTGAGCTCACCGAAGAAAACTTTGATCGGGTGAGGAACCGTCGCGTGGAACTCTACTCTGCCAGGATGAAGGGCAAACGGACGTTCTGGCAAAGAATGCTGGCAATCGTTGACAGTAGCCAAAACCAATTTTAAATATTGAAAAAATGGGAACCAAAGCAAAAATGGCTCCCTGTCCCGTGGGTATAGTTGGAGTCCGCCGATGACAGACTGCATGGCACGGCTGACGGATGATCATTGAACTTCAGCAGTGATTATTTCCCAAGTGGTTACAAGTATCCAATTGGAAGACGTCGGCTCGGATGGAAAGATGAGTTAAAAGAGAGATATGGAAGTTTTTTGGGACGTACCGAACGAGACAGAGGAGCTTGTGCATCGGCAATAGGGAATGGTGATCCTCGTTAAATCCCTCGAAGAGGAATCAACCAATTGTTGTTTTCAATATTTCATTGCTTTTTATATTGGTACTTTCTTATGCCGACAGCAGCATTCGTTGGACTAACAAAAAGCCAATAAATCTGATTCGATTTTCTGTGCCATTTACGGAAATCTTTAACAGATAAATCAGCAACGGTGCAGTTTCAAGCCATGGAAAAGTTACCCATAACCGCAGTGCCCAAAGGACAAAACTCCAGTAAACTGAACGTCAGGATGATGATTGCGACGTCTTTGGCACAGACAGCATGTGTAGAGAACTCTCTTTGTGGCTAGAAACGATTTTCATCCAACAGGGTACTATCAGTTGTACCCTGAAGAACTGTTAGACACGGGTCGAAACGTCTCTGATGGCTAGTTATCCTATATGCCATCTATTTCATGCTGTGTCTAAACACAGCTATGTTGCATTTCCATATGACCAACAATGCTGGAGCAGAATGCTCAGTTTTCGAATCTTCTTCCTTCGTTTAGGCTTAAACTTCGAACAACTACTGTTGCCTCACTTTTGGCGATACCTCAGAAAACGCATGTCATCATCGTACTGTGAGCGTAGTCGAAGGGGACCGTTTCGTCTATCAAACGTTCGTCTAACTGACTGATATGTAATACTCTGGCACCCTGCCTTTTTGTACCAAGGAAGACGAACAGCGCTGCAAAACAGCATCGGTGCTCTAATGTAGGCAAGTGTCTACTAGTGAATCAGAAGCCGCCACTGACTTCCGCAGAGGTAAGTTCATTTTCCGACTGGCTAAACCGTGACAGCCTCTTCTCTACCACTAGGCTGTAGTAACCACTAGTCAAGCTGTTATGATATTCTACCAGAATCTCGTTGACCGGCCGTTTCGAAATTTCTGAATCACAGCCAAGGAAGTGAGTTCAATAGTTAGCCTTCTCCAGGCGATATGACTCTTTGCCGATGGTTGGCGAAAAACAGGCAGTGAGACAATTCAGAACCGCTTTTCGCACTGCAGCTAGGAGATGCCTGAAACAGCCAAAAGTGAGTATGAAGCCATTTCAGAAGTGCAAAAGAGTAGGACTTATGAAGAATTCCGAGCCATCGGCAACAATGTAGAATTTTACAATGAAAATGATGATTTTAAGGATGAAATCGCTGAAAGAATTCTATCAACACACCAAGAAGAAGAGTTTG